TTTCTCATCTCCACCGTCAAATTACCCGCTCTCCACCGTAACCTCCACCACCAAATTATCTGTTTTCCACCTTCTAAACCGAGATGTTTTCGAACTCCTCTGAGCACACCCTTCCGCCGCTGCCGCCGGTACGCCATCTCCGGCCGCTGGAAACTCTCTCACAGGCGCCCACCACTATGTAACCATGAAGCTGACATCCCGGAACTTCTTGTTCTGGCGTACGCAGCTGCTCCCGTTTCTTCGGAGCCAGGAACTCCTCGGTTATGTAGACGGTAGCCTGCCATGGCCGCCGGCAACGATCGCCGCACCTTCGTCATCTGCGGATTCCAGTACCACTCCGGTGGCCAGCGGTGTTCCGAATCCAGCATACCAAGCCTGGGTGAAACAGGATCAAGCTATCCTTTCACTTGTGATCTCATCGATGTCGGGTGAGGTCTTGTACCTTGCGCTTGGCCAAAACACGTCTGCTGCGATCTGGGAGTCCATCACCACGGCGCTAGGTTCCTCCAGCCAAGCTAGGTGTCTCAATCTGTTGGGGCAGTTCCAGCTTCTCCGTCAAGGGAATTCCACCACCGCTGATTATCTCGGGGGCGCGGGGGTGTTGGTGGAGTCTCTAGTCCAGGCCGGCCGGCCTCTGTCGTTGATGGAGCAGAATCTGTACGTCATCCGCGGCCTGCGTTCGGAACTGAAAACGTTGGCGGCCTCCTTCACCTCCGGCAATGCAGTAACCCTTGCGCATCTTTCGAATTATCTACAGGCAAATGAATTCATCCTGGTGGATGATTTCCCTGCTGCCGACGGAACTGCAGCCCACTCGGTGTTCTATGCCGGCTCGGGTCGTGGTGCGTCTTCTGGAGGCGGACGACAGCAGCAACAACAATCGGGTCGAGGCTCCTCGTCCGGTGGCCGTAGTGGGCGTGGTGGCCGGCAGAACCGAGGTGGCCGCGGAGGTCCTCGGTGCCAGATTTGTCGCTCCCATGGATATTCGGCTATGTACTGCTTCAAGCGGTATCATCCGCAACCGGTCGCGCGGCAAGCTCATGTCGCCATGTCGGGCGACACTCCGCCGACGCCGGTGCACGCTCCTGCCGACGGGTGGTACCCGGACACCGGTGCCACCGCGCATGCGACCCCCAATGCGAACATGATGGGGCAGTCGGAGGAATACACTGGTTCTGATGTGCTACGTGTGGGTAATGGTGCAGGTTTGGCTATTACTAGATTCGGTCGTGCATCTCTTCCTTCCGAGTCAAAATCTCTCTGTTTAAATAAGATATTGCATGTCCCGAGTCTCTCGGTCCCGTTACTTTCTGTTCATAAATTTGCAGTTGATAACGGTGTATATTTTGAGTTTCATGATTCCTGTTTTTTTGTGAAGGATTCCATCACCAAAGCGGTCCTGCTTAGGGGTCCTGCTATGGGCGAACTTTACAAGCTTTCAGCATCACATTCACATTTTGCGTATGTCAGTTCCCGGGCCACCCCTACGGTTTGGCACTAAAGGCTCGGTCACCCGCATAAAACTGTCCAGAATAAAGTTCTACAAAGTTGCCTAGTCAAATCCAATAAAAATGATCCAGTCAATTCCTGCGTCTCGTGTCATCTCGGGAAATCATCGCGTTTTAAATTAGACAGTGTACCACGTTCTAGTGAAAATGTACTAGATCTTATTTTTACCGACATTTGGGGACCATCCCCGGTACTATCTGTTAGTGGTTATCGTTATTTATGTTTATTTGTAGATGATTTCTCCCGCTTCTGCTGGTTTTATCCATTACGGATAAAATCAGACATATATAAATGTTTCGAGTCGTTTCGTGTTCTGGTCGAGCGCCAATTTGGGCATTCTATAAAGTCAATCCAATCTGATATAGGGGGTGAGTACAGAAAATCACATAATGTATTTCAAACCTTAGGCATTAATCACCGCCAGTCATGTGCATACACACATGAGCAAAATGGGCGTGTAGAGCTCCGTAACCGACACATTGTCGAAATGGGCCTAACTCTACTTGCTGAGGGAAAAGTACCTCACGAATATTGGGAATATGCCTTTGAAACAGCAACTGTCTTAATCAACTACTTACCGTCTTCTGCCATTAATTATGATAGCCCATACACTCGTCTCTTCAAAATACCACCTCTGTATACCTTTCTTCGCGTCTTTGAGTGTCAGTGTTACCCATATCTACGCCCATATAACAGGCATAAGATAGAGTACCGCTCCACCCCGTGCATCTTCCTTGGTTACCCACCCTCCTTTAGGGGATACAGATGCACTGACTTGGCTACTGGTAAGACCTATATCTGCCGCTATGTCCGTTTTGATGAACATGTTTTTCCTTTTTCAGCAAAGAATGTGCAACAAGTTTCGCCTCCACCGAGTTTACCGTGGGTGGCAGCTCCTGTTGTCACGACCAGTACATCTTTAGTGCCCACTGATCCACCGGGCCCACGAGAGGTTGTTGAGTCTGAGCCCATACCCTTAGCACATGATCCACCACAACTGGCGGTCACTCACACTGCCCCGGCACGGACCCGTAAACGGCGTGCTCAACTGCAAGGACGGGACCATGTCATGCGTCTTCGTCACATGACTAAGGGTACGGACGAGCCTTTTCAGGCCTTGACTGTCAGTTCAGACCCGACGTGTTATTCACATGCCGTTGGCCATGCACACTGGCGTGAGGCTATGGATCAGGAGTTTAATGCTCTTCTCCACAATCAACCTGGCGCCTAGTCCCACCTGAACCTCATATGAATATTATTGGGTGCAAGTGGGTGTTCCGCACTAAGCGCACTGCGGATGGGTCAGTAGAGCGGTATAAAGCTCATTTGGTAGCCAAAGGGTTTAACCAGGTTGCAGGGGAGGACTTTTTTGACACATTTAGTCCAGTAGTCAAACCCACTACAGTCCGAATGCTGTTTTCATTGGCTGTATCCAAGGGTTGGACTCTACGGCAACTAGATGTTCACAACGCCTTCCTAAACGGCCACCTAGCCGAAACAGTTTACATGAAACAGCCACCGGGGTATGAGGATCCTACAACAGCTGGTCATGTGTGTCACCTACAACGGTCTCTTTACGGGTTGAAACAGGCACCCAGAGCCTAGTTCAAGCGTCTCCATGATTTTCTGTTATCCACAGGTTTTCAGGCATCCAAAACCGATGTCTCTTTGTTTTATTACACTGCAGGAGACTCCCGTGTGTTTTTGTTGGTCTACGTAGATGACATCATTATGATGGGCAATGATGCCAAACTTGTGACTACTTTACTACAACGACTGTCTACAACCTTCAAAATTCAAGATCTAGGAGCACCGGGATTCTTTTTGGGTATCGAGACAGTTGTGGTAGGCGGTGGTCTCCTTTTATCGCAACGGCGCTACATGACGGATCTGCTTGGCCGCTCGGGTATGATTGACTGTAAGCCGCTTGCCACTCCAGCAGCTGTCACCAAGTCGATCACTACGGTGGATACCCCGTATGATAATACGACATAGTATCGCGCATTGTTGGCGTGTTGCAGTATCTGACGATCACGCGCCCAGACTTGTCTTATGCGGTCAATCGACTTTGTCAGTTCATGCATTCTCCGACAGACGATCACTGGAATCTGGTAAAACGAGTCCTTCGATACATCAAGGGAACTTTAGACTATGGTTGCAGCTTACTCCGTCTGCTTCTACTGCCATTCATGCCTACTCTGATTCAGACTGGGCTGGCTGTCCCGTCGACAGGAAGAGTACAAGTGGTTGTGCTGTTTATCTGGGTTCCAATCTCATCTCATGGTTGTCCAAGAAGCAGCGCATTGTGGCCCGCTCTTCCACTGAAGCTGAGTATAAAGCGTTAGCTTATGTATATGCTGAGGTCACCTGGGTTGTTTCATTACTTCAGGAGCTTGGGTTACATTCTGGTCAACCTGCGACACTATGGTGTGACAATCTTGGCGCAACGTATCTATGTGCAAACCCGGTCTTCCATGCTCGCACTAAACACGTAGAGATTGACTACCACTTCGTTCGTGACAAAGTTGTTTCAGGGGACTTCGTGGTGAATTATGTGTCTACTACTGATCAGCTAGCCGATATCTTCACCAAACCGCTTCCGTCACCGCGTTTTTCTACTCTACGAGGCAAGCTCAATGTGGCCTCTCTGCCGTCTTGTGCTTGCGGGAGTGTATTAGTGAAGTTATTATTTCATATTATTATTGTATAATGTATAGTCTTGTAGTATGTGGTTATTATTAGTTAGTCAAGACTAGTTCTACTTATCAGGTTAGTTAGAGTTTTAGTTGTGATATACTCTGTAATCTTTATCCTGTTTCTAATTGAATCGAAAGACATTTTCTAATCCTTTATTACTCTATAATCTATTATTTATTATTATTTATATAATGCAGCAATGCAATATTAATTTTGAAGTAAAATATGTTACAATAATATTTAGACAACAGTAACATTTATATAGTGCATCAATGCAGCATTCATGATTCAACTTGAAAATATCGATTTCTTCAATTTTTAAAATAATTTTTAAGTTAAATAATTGAAAATAAATATGTAAACTTGTAAAGTTAATTTAGAAAAAAAAAACATAATTTAAATAAATTGATATATAATTTTTAATTTTTTTATATTTTATATTTTATATTTTTTGAAAAATAGACCCGACTATACTTTAATTTTTATTTTTCAGACCGGGTCAAACCCGATCCAAAATATAATCCAAACAAACTAACCCAGTTTAAAAAATAAGCGGGCCAATGACAGGCCGGTCTGGACCGGTCCAAGCCCACCCGTTTAACACCCAAACAATTTTCAAGTTGCGATTTTATTTTAAACCTTGAACCAAAAACCAATTCGGGTTCGGGTTACGGTTTTACGGAGTCTTTTCTAAACCTTGAACCAAAACCTGGTTCCCATAATCCATCGACATGGGCCCACACAACGAATTGCAGACCACAAGAATAGGGAGAATTCACTCTGCAACCAATCAGCCGTATCCAACTTTCTTTCCCAATCTCTCTCTCTAGCTAGTCTATATCTAGAAGCGAGCCCAAAAGACAAAGATCATACTGGATTGAGGGAGGTTTCGAGTTCTGTTGCTCTCTCTCTCTCCCTCGCGAGAAGTTATCCATGAAGAAGACAACCTTTAGGTAACCTTTTAATACTGTATTAATTTTCGTTCAGTTCCAATTTTGAGCTATAATTTTCATCTTTAATGGTGATTTAATGTTTTATCTTCAACTTCTAGCTATCGCATCACTGTTATTATATGTATACGGAAGTATAAACACAATTTTGTTTATGTAGTGTTCCTCAATTATTTTCAGTCTTTTAATGTTTTTTTTTTTTTTTAATTATTGTTATGAATTTGCTATTTACCGTTGGGCTCCATCTCTTCTGATTGCCAAGGGAAAATTCGATATATTTCAGTTAATCTGACCGGGGGGACTGAGCTTGTAGTTTTGGTAGGTGATGTTGATGGGAAATTTGAAGCAATTCGATTGATATTGTTTATGAAAGAGGTAGGCTAACTTGTTATGACATTGATCCTTGATGGTTCTTGAACCCATGCTATGCAGGGCAGGCTTTAATCTATTCGACTTGTTTTGTTGTGCTAGACCTCTATATTACTGTACATTGAGAAATGAATGATCTTTCTTTATTTTATTGAAAATTCACTTCACTGAACCAGAACAATTCATCTCCTGTTTGAACTGTAGACTTTTTTTATTCTGATATAGTTTTGCAGAAGCCATAAAATAATCTTCCTTTTAATTTTCCTGAAAATTTACTTCACTGAACCCAAGAATAAATCTCCTGTTTGAGCTGTAATCTTTACTTATTGTGAAATATTAGTGTGCAGAAGCTGTTGAATTGCATTTCAAAGATACTGCAAAGATATTTGTCAAGTTGTGTTTCATTTTGATGTCTGAACTCTATGTAGTACTGAAGGGACTGACAATGTTTGAAAAGTTATAGCTACTGTGGTGCTCTGTTTGGTAATTGAATGAAATTGTGAGGGATCTTGTAGTAGAATAGTGTAGGGATTGCAAGAAAATGAAAATGACACAAAGTCCAATTATGAAATTGTTCTAAAAAGCCCTATTGAATATAACAACAAAGTTTGGGTTTTGGAAAGTCGTGGGTTGCCCTACTGTCGTCTGAGTTCTCCTATGTCAGTTATATATCTCAGTTTTATATATGCCCCCCTCCCCTGCACAAAAAGGTTCCCATCATTCCATAAATATATGGATCTCCACTCTCACCTTGCAGTTATTTTCATTCTAAATTAATATTAATTATTACTCATTAAAATTTCAACATTAAATATTTAAAAAAGGGTTAGTTGTAATTGAACAAAAATGCAAATTTACTACATTTAGGATAAAGTACAATATACTATCAATCAAGTGTGAACAGTGAATGCTATGGCTTTGAGGCTTTCATTGAGAGTTGATTATGGTTGGCACTATGGAGTTGAGTTAATGACAGCTTTGGCTTGTTGGGTGTTTTCCGTGGGAGTGACAGATGGATGACAGGAAATGAGGAGCAGCCAGGAAACGTGGTTTGATAGAAGGTGGCAAGTGGGCAAGGGGTTGGGGACAGTAATGGGGTTCAGTGCCCAATTTTGTTTGGGATTGTTTTAAGTGTGGTATTTATTAGGCAATTTGGGATACATTTATATTGTAAAAGAAAAGAAAAGTTGATTCTTCATCTTTGGAATCCACCATACCTAAGTTTGTGTGGGGGAGTAGAACATGTGCATTGCAATGGATTTCAAGTGGTTGTGATTCCAACACCTAAATTTTGTTCGATTTATATAACTTATTCTGTGTACCAAGCAGAGAATGAGATATGCTCCTCTCCTTTGTGCTTGGTCTTTGGCTGAGCTTTGCAAAGAGAATGAAGGATATTGGTTGCATTTGACCTCTATAGGTACAAGGCAGAATAAAGAAAACGGAAAGGGGAGGAAAGTGAAGTTGACCTTTCCTTTGATAAATTATCTTATTTTCTATTTGGTTATTAAAAAAATTAGCTCATTGGTTGAAAATTTGTAAAGATCATTGCTTTGCACACTACTAAATGCATAGCATTGGGTCCATGACCAACTGGATTTATCTTGTGTTAATACTACATAATTAGAAGTTGCTTATTATGTATTGTGATTTGTGACAGGTCCACTGCTCTTATAACTTCTGGTGGCTAAAGTACATGTGCTTCGAACATCATACATATATAGCAATGGCTTCTTGGTTTCTTGATAACCTCCCATGGTTCAGACCTCTCTCTAAACAGGATGTGGCATCTACCACTATTTCCACTACCATACTAATACAGACTCCTAAACAAAGGGCACATATTGATATCAACTTTTGGCAATGGCCTATATTTTCAATTATTCCTTGGGTAATTGATGCAAGGAATAAAATTCAAATGCCAGCTACTGTCAACCGCAAGTTCAAAATCAGCTCACAGTCTCGTGACAGAACTGAACTTGTTGCTCAAAACTCTATACGCTTCAGACCATATGTTTCCAAGGTTCCATGGCACACAGGTACAAGAGGTTTTCTATCTCAGTTGTTTCCACGATATGGGCATTACTGTGGCCCCAATTGGTCAAGTGGGAAAGACGGTGGATCTCCAATTTGGGATAGAAGACCAATTGATTGGCTGGACTTCTGTTGCTATTGCCATGACATTGGTTACGATAGTCATGACCAGGCTGAGCTTCTAAAGGCAGACCTAGCTTTCCTCGAGTGCTTGGAGAAGCCTCACATGAGTACCAAGGGGGATCCTAACATCGCTACCCTCTACAAAACAATGTGTATATCTGGTAATAAATGAATGTTTTGCGATGCATATTAACCTCTCTCTCTCTCTCTCCCTCTCTCTCTATATATATATATAAACATAGTGGTATTAAATTGTCAGCGTTGCTGGATCAATGTTTAAAATGCAGGTCTCAGGAATGTACTGATACCTTACAGGCAACAACTGGTGAAGTTACAATCAGGGCAATTATCTTATCAGTTTGGATGGTTAAGCGGTGTTAAATGGAAATGGCCGAAGCTTCAGAATACTTGAAGAGAAGAATAAAGATGTAGCTTGTATCCTATTATTATGAAATGATCAATGTAATGTCCTCGGAAACTGATGCTTCTGTATATTAAAAAAAATTTAGTTCCATCACGCTCTAATATAATGCTCAACTAATACTGCCTAGCATTGGTATAATGGATGAGAGGTTTCACATAAGGGCTCTGGTTGGCAAAGCTTATTTAGGAGCTTATAGCTTATTTTAAGCTACTAATAAGCTATAAGCTCTGTTTGGTAATGTTCCCAAAATAAGCTCCTAGCTTAAAATAAGAGTTTATTTTGGAACGTTACATTAGGTAGCGTTTCAAAATAAGCTCTTAGCTTTTTAACTTTTTTTCCACATTTATCCTTATTATTTTAAAGAAATGACATAATTTATCCTTCCCAATTAAAACTCTTTTCTCTTCTCCTTTATCGGCAACTTTCACCTCAATTATTATTATTATTATTACTATTACTACTATTACTATTATTATTATTACTATTACTACTATTACTACTACTACTATTACTACTACTACTATGCAAGGAGAATAAACAGAAGAATAATTAAGACCTCATTGAAGAGCATTTAATATTCATAATGAGCCATCAAACAGTAGTACTAGTCCTGCCACTCCAACGCCTATTGATAGAATAATTACAGAGCGGATCTAGGGTGATGTAATATGGAGCGAATTAGACCTGAAACCCGACTTGATTACGCACGTGCCCGGGCAGACCACGAAGGGGTCTGCCTCCCAAAGGACCTCGACCATTACACGGGGGTCGGCTGCCGTGAGGTCGGCCACCTCGTGCTCTTCACGGCTCGGCCAGGGGACGGGGTCCTTGTGTTGACCGGGTCTTGCAGCGGCGGTTGCCATCCAAGCGGCTCCCACCGCGTCCTCCGAGGTTGTTGGGCCGACATTGGGTACAAAAACCCTCACTTGTGTCTTGTTCAGACATCTCATGTCCTAATTACACACTTGTCTCGTTATTACATTAATCCTTAGCTTTGTAATAGCGTTTTATACTTAATTAATGCAATACTAGTCTCCTGACTATATTCGTATCATAATTCCAACCCCTATTATCGTTTAATCCTAGACTTGTCACATTTATTCGGGTTAATTGATCCGGACTCCGGGTTAATTAATTCCATCATTGGTGCTATTGTTGAGAACGACTGTACAAGCTTAAGCGTGCTCTCCTTTCTATTATTCGTCCTAGCTATGGCGAGATCAGAGTCAAACACCCGCAATTTCCACGATTCACGCAACACTCGCAACCTCACCCACGCCAATCACCCCACCGGGACAACAGCGAGTCGGCAGACCCTACCCGTGGGGTCAGGAGAGGACCTCGGGTTTTTGACTGAAATGGGAGTTGGCATTGGGTTAGGACAATAATATGAATGCTTCTTTTTTTTTTTTTTTTTTTTTGACAAAAGTAGGAAAACCGAGTTTGGGAAACGCGGTTGGGGTCAAAACCGCATTTCCCAAACTTGGTTGTGGCGAAATTCCACGTTGCTACAGCCGCATTTGAGAAATGCGGTTGTCGTATACACAAAGCCGCATTTGAGAAATGCGGCTTTCGTACGATAGCCGCATTTCCCAAATGCGGCTATGCTTTTAGAATCTCGCTGGCGCCGGCGACAAAGGCGACAAAAACGCGTTTGGGATTGACGGGGAGACGAGAGGGTGGCATGGAACTGCTTCCAGCCATGTTTCTTCCGTCCAAGTTTTTCCCAGAACGAGAGGCCATAGATACCCAGAGCACAGAACCAATTCTCTAAACAAGTTAAACCCAAAAGCCGGTTCTCACACGCAGATTATCCGGCAAAGGAGCGAAGCAATCGCGAAAAAGCAATAAAATTCGGTGCTCACAGACAACCGGTGGAAGAGGAGACGTTACCTGGGGTTACAAGAGAGAACTCCACCGTGACCGTCGACCGTCGGGTTTCCACCCCAGAAAGCCACTTGTTGTCGTTTTACAGTAACTTCCCGTCGAGACCGTCGGACTTCCAGAAACACAAGGCACCGCCTCTTAGCGTCGCACAGAGACACCGACCGGAAAAATCCCTTCAGGAATGGCGGAGGCAGTCGTATCGCCATTTTTGTCGCCGGCGCCGGCGAGATTCTAAAAGCATAGCCGCAGTTGGGAAATGTGGCTATCGTATGATATACGAAAGCCGCATTTCTCAAATGCGGCTTTGTGTATACGACAGCAGCATTTGGGAAATGCGGTTGTCGTATAATATACGACAGCCGCATTTCTCAAATGCGGCTGTCATCAATGTGGAATTTCGCCTCAATCGAGTTTGGGAAATGCGGTTTTGACCCCAACCACGTGGTCCGCGTTTCCCAAACTCGGTTTTCCTACTCTTGTCAAAAAAAAAAAATTCCTATTATTGTCCATAACCCAATGCCAACTCCCATTTCAGTCAAAAACCCGAGGACCTTAGGGATCAACTTAACGGGGACTGACAATGGTAGCGGAGGACCTCAGGAGTCGGCTAAACAACTTATCAACTTTTATAGACTCTATCAAAATAGGGTTTCTGTAGACTTTTTCTTCATTTAATATAAATAGATAAAATCCAACCATCCAACCCCAAACTTTTCAATTTTCTCTACAAACTTTTTTCCTCAATGTAGACCACACAAATTTTTCATCAATTTCTATCAAATTTTACGGTACGTTTCAAACCTTTTATAAATTCTTATATACTTTTTATTTTTATCTCTCTATTAATTTCATACATATTTATTAAAAAAAAAACATAACCAAAATTAATTTAGAGTTTTAATGACTTTTGTAGACTTTTTAATATGAATTTTTTTTAAAAAAGTTTATAAATGTTTGTTCTACGAATTTTTATAGACTCAAGTTGATGAAAGTTTAAAAAAATTTAGGAAATTCTACAAAAATTATTTAAAATCCATCACTTTAACATCACGTTTTGTTCACGGAATGAATTTTGAGGTAATAGAAATGCTATTCCATAAAGAATAAAATATGAATTGTATTATATTGTTTGGTTTGCGGAAAGAATATATTTTAGGAATTATATTACAGTGTTTGATTGGTTTAAGGAATAGAAATGAAATATGTTTTAAAAGACACTTATACAAATATGTGGTAGTAGTGGTGTTGGTGGTGGTGGCGGTGGCGGTGGCGGCAGTGAAATAGGAAATAAATTTAATTGAGCGTAAAATAGGAAATAGCAACTTTAAGCCATTCCGAATAACTCAGAAATAGCTTAATACCAGAGCCCCTTAGGAATCTCTATTCCCCTGCAAGGGGAAAGATGTCATTCCCAGGAATATTGTTTTTGGGAATAGATATTTTTATCAAACAAATGAATAAGTCTATTACTGGGAATGCTATTCCATTCCAAGCATATTCCGCGAACCAAACGTGCCATAAAAGTCTTTGGAAGTCTTAAAAAGTCTTGATTGAATCACTTCCCTTAGAAAGTTTTTAAAATTTGATAGTACATTTTTATTTTGAATGCTACTAACTTTATTAGATTGTAGTATCTGTTCAAACATGCTTTCAACTTAGATGTTCAATCTCATGACCTCCCATATAGGAGAGATCATCATTTGAGCACAAGATACTTGATTGATAGTACATTTTTATAAAAAATTGAAGGAATAAGGGTCAAATAAGTCATCGAACTGTACAGGATAATGCAATTAGACCACTGAACCTAAAAAACCAACAATTATGTCCCTAAACTAATCAATTTCAAACAATTCTTTCAATTTCAAGGTTTCCAACAGGTCAACAGGTCATCCTCTCAAATTAATTATTTTTTTAAAAAAATAAATTTTAAAAAATAATTAATTTTAAATTTTGTTTAAAAAAAAAACATACCCCGTCGTCTCCGGCCAGTCCAGTTATTATTATTATTTTTTGTTTTTTTTTTAAATATTTTTTTAAATTTAAATAATTAATTTTAAAAATTTATTTTTAAAAAATAATTAATTTGGAAGGATGACCTGTTGGAAACCTTCAAATTGAAAGATTTGTTTGAAATTGGTTAGTTTAGAGATTCAATTGTTAGTTTCTTAGATTTAGTGGCCTAATTGAATTATTGTGTGCAGTTGGATGACCTATTTGACCCTTATTCCAAAATTGAATTAACTTATTTTTTTGTGCCATGCGTTGAAATTGAATGACTTATTTGATCTGTATCCGAATACTTATGATACTGTCACAGCTCATTGAATGACATTTTCCTTTTTATAATTTGCAAAGTTAAGCCTTCATGCAAGAGAGAAATGAACTAGAAAATACATAACCCCTAGTCCAACCAAAAAACCCTAAACTGCAGGCATTTCATACTGCTTCCTTCTCTGATACTCTCTCCGCCAACCACTGACTAACTGAGTCACTACATCGTCCGATCTGCAAAGTCAGGGGCAACAATGGCGGCCATGATGGTAAGTTCGATCTCTCTTTCTGACTGATTTTGTAGTATATAGCGGACATGCTTGTTATAGAGTAACCTAGATCAGGTCGGACGGAAGAATTTTTCTGCTTCATCAGAACATCTGAGAAAATGAAATATACTCCGTAATATAGAAATTATTGAATGCTGAGTGTCTATGTTGAAGATTACGCTATTCTATGCAAGTAAAATCTGATTGTAAGTGGTGTTTTACTTCGTGTGTGCTCGGCTAAGGTTAATAATTTAGATTTCTGCATTGAAATGTGGCTGGAGAAGAGCGAATTAACTGGTGGTGAGAAAACTTTGACTATATTGAATGCTATTTGTTGTTTTTTCAACTTACTCTGATTGTTTTTTGAGTAGCAACCACAAATCATATTGCTTAAGGAAGGGACAGATACTTCTCAAGGGAAGGCACAGTTGGTGAGCAATATAAATGCGTGTATGGCTGTTGCGGATGTTGTAAGGACTACGCTTGGTCCAAGGGGTATGGACAAGTTGATTCATGATGATAAGGGAAACACCACCATTTCCAATGACGGTGCCACTATAATGAAGCTTCTTGACATTGTTCACCCTGCTGCCAAAATTCTTGTTGACATTGCCAAGTCCCAGGACTCTGAGGTATTGTATGATGTGCTTTTTTTTTTTTTTTTTTTTTTTTTAAATAATTTTTTGATGAATTTAATGTTCCATAGGCACACGAGTGGTACCTAGATTTGACTATTTGAACATCATAAGGTTTCTGCTTTAAGATTGGCGGAAGTAGCATTGGAAAAATGATTTTGTTATAGGAGAAAAAGTTTTATGTCTTAGAGAAGTTAGAGCATCTAGTTTGGATGGGGAGACTATAGATTGGACTTCTTCACAATATTACTAATAGCTTCTTTGCTTGCAATGAAATGAAGTTGGGGTGCACATTATATGGTGTTACATTTTGTTTGGCTAAGCAGTGAAATAGTTTTCCACTATAGTTCCTCTTTTGCCAAATGCATTTGGTGGGTCTATGTTGGGCTGCTGTTTAGCAATAAAGCAATTAATAGTTCACCAAAATATGTTAGGTAACTTGTAGATGCAATATTTTTATTGACATTGCAGTGTCTTTAATTGCCATTTGTCATGCCCATCCTGTTTAGTAACTGTCCTCCTTGACCAAATATATTATCCCCGCAGGTTGGTGACGGGACAACCACTGTTGTTCTGCTTGCTGGAGAGTTTCTGAAGGAAGCCAAGCCTTACATTGAAGATGGAGTGCACCCTCAAAACTTGATTCGTAGTTATCGAACTGCATGCAATTTGGTATTTTTCTTTCCCCTTCTGTTTTATTCCTTCCCTTTTTTCCAGGGGTGGGGTGGGGTTGTTTTTTGCAGGATGTGATACCTGTGGTACATATTTCTAATTTCTTTTATTCTATGATAGGCAATTGAGAAGGTAAAAGAATTGGCTGTTAGCATAGAGGGTAAAAGCATGGAAGAAAAGAGAAGTCTGCTTGCTAAGTGTGCAGCTACAACACTGTCATCAAAACTTATTGGTGGGGAAAAGGATTTTTTTGCATCCATGGTTGTTGATGCTGTCCTTTCAATTGGAGATGATGACAGGCTGAATATGATTGGCATTAAGAAGGTATACATGCAAATTTGGGATGTTCTGGAATTTGCCTACTTCAGTCGACTTTGACGGTTGCCTTCACGGATCCATACAGAATATAGTACTTTATATATACATAAATAATTAACTTTGATGGTTGCCTTCAGAGATTCCTATAGAATATATTAATTATATATACATAAATATGTATTTTTCTGCATAGTTACTCCAGAGCAGATACTTTGATATATTTGTTGATGTACTAGTAGTGTGAATGCCTTTAAGTGCTTATGATTACTATTTTCATTGCTTGCTTGAGATAAATTGGGTTTCTATACTAATGTATCATCAGGCCTCTAGTCATAATTCAAAAGAAGGTTATTCTTGCTGGTCAAAATTGATTATTTTGTGATCTGATTTGAAGAGATCCAAATTTATTTGCATCAAATACTTAGTTGCTTATGTCAGTATGTGTATTGTTGATGTATCATATATAGGTTGTTGAGTAATATTGAGTCTTTATTATTCTGGAAATCTGGAATTTGAAATCAGATCTACATTTAAATAAATAGCATATAATCTTATGGTGCACCTAAATTTTTTTTCTTGAATTTTCACTTTTCAGTTTACAAATAATGTTAAAAGTTCTTTTTTACTTAGTCCTAAACCGCAATCTACATTCATTTACTTCTGGGTATCTCTATAGCTCCTCAGCGCTTACTGATGCATGTTTACATTTGCTAATTTTCTTTAACTTTGTAGGTTGCTGGAGGCACCATGCGGGATTCTTTCCTTGTAAACGGTGTTGCCTTCAAGAAGACTTTTTCCTATGCTGGTTTTGAACAGCAACCTAAGAAGTTTATCAATCCCAAGATACTCTTACTGAACATAGAATTGGAATTGAAGTCAGAGAAAGAAAATGCAGAGATAAGGTATGATGATTGCTTCTTACATTGAACTATTCTAGGAAATTTATGTCATATTTCTCAATTCATTTTTGTAAGTTGCATGTTTTAAAACCTTGCCTAACCATGTCAATATCAGGCTTTCAGATCCGTCACAGTATCAATCAATTGTTGATGCAGAATGGAATATCATTTATGAAAAGCTGGATAAATGTGTCAAAAGTGGGGCAAAAGTTGTTTTGTCTCGACTTGCTATTGGGGATCTAGCTACACAGGTTGGTAGAAACTTTAAAACTTTTCAGTAAGTCAGTGATCAGTTAGAAATTTCATCCTGAAGAGATATTGATGGATATTTGAAACCTTTTGCATTGCCAGTATTTTGCAGATCGAGATATATTCTGTGCTGGTCGTGTTACTGAGGAGGATCTGCAGCGAGTGACTGCTGCTACTGGTGGAACAGTACAGACAACTGTGAACAACGTTATTGATGAGGTTTTTTTGCTTTGCTTTTGTCACCCATATGTTTAACAGAGATGAAGGAGATTCAAAGTTACTACTTTTTGGAATTGCTAGGATTCTTTATAGTATGTTTTCATTCAACTTTGATTCTTTGTGGAGATAGGTTCTTGGAACATGTGAGCATTTTGAGGAGAAGCAAGTAGGAAATGAGCGGTTCAACATATTTAGTGGATGTCCATCTGGAAAGACAGCCACTATTGTGCTTCGTGGTGGAGCAGATCAGGTGTGCTTTGATTGTTGCATACTACATTTGTTTTAGGGTGTTGATACCCAAACTCCTCTTTTAGCATGCAACACTTATCCAGTTTTTGCTTGAACAAATGACTACAATGTGCTTGCACCTCATTGAATTTTTATGTTCTATTCTTAGTCTTTCAAAAAACTTTAGGACCTAAATTTTGTGGTAAATAGAATTTTTAATATTTTTTCTTAGTGCCTGTCTTCTGTTAGATAAAATTAGATCTTCTAGTGTTCAATCTTAAAGCTGGAATCGATCAAATCTCTTAACACAGTCCTGTAATATCTAATTTACTTAAAAGGTGATAAGCATTAGTAAAATAGCAGTAATGATATTAGAGTTTAAGATGGCTCTAGACTTCATGATGACTAAGCGTTGGATATTTGGATTATTGGAGTAATTTACTTATATAGCAAAAACAATGAGTCTGAGAAGCTAAAAGAGGAGCTGGTTTATTATTTACTGGCTCTAATTTGTTTTCTTGAATTTTATTTAGTTCATTGAAGAAGCTGAGAGAAGCCTGCATGATGCAATTATGATTGTTAGAAGAGCTGTAAAAAATTCTACTGTTGTTGCTGGTGGCGGTGCTATAGATGTAAGATCTTAGCACCATTTATTAGTTAAATAAATATGTTCTTGATCTTCATAACTGGATAATTGGATATACCATTGGCTACAGATGGAGATTAGCCGATATTTGAGGCAGCATTCACGCACAATAAAGGGGAAGTCTCAGCTCTTTATAAACTCATATGCCAAAGCCCTTGAGGTACATTATGTCCTAATCAAAATCAAAGTGCAACATTGTTTAGGAGTTCTGTTATAATGTGCATGTGTTGATGGCTAATATAATCACTGAGGATGTTAATTCGATTACTATTAAGTTAATATGATTATCATTGGTTTAGTTGTACAACTACCCCTCCCCAACTCTCTTACTGTTTCTTCCTTGCTGGATTGAAGTTGGTCTAATTGCAATGAAAAAATCAGCCTATAAATTTGCAGTTGCCAGTTGGCATATTATAATTGTGAGTATGTACTTCTGCTGTTAATGTCATTTAAAAGTTTTATGGTTGTTAGGCTTCTTACTTGCTAGCTTGTTCTGTGTAAATCTGAGTAATATTTGATTAGGGTACCATCTGATGCTTTTGCTGCTGAGTTTTCTGGGAACATGTAACTTTTCTTTTCATATTATGAGAACTCATTATTGTTGCTGAAAATGTTAATTATGTGCTGCAGATTATTCCACGGCAATTGTGTGATAATGCTGGTTTTGATGCAACTGATGTGCTGAACAAACTCAGACAAAAACATGCTCTTCCTTCAGGTGAGGCTACTTTTATTTAGTTATAATATCTATTTGTGAGGTATTTATATTGAAATTAATATTTAAAATTTTAAATGTTCTGCCCTACTTTTTATAAGTGTTTGTTACTGATGCCACAAGATCATTAAACAGGTGAGGGCGCACCTTATGGGGTGGATATTAATACCGGTGGCATATCAAATTCATTTGCTAATTTTGTCTGGGAACCATCAGTTGTGAAGGTACATTGATATTTGCTAGTAACTATTTGCGCATTGTTTTCTAGTTATCGTCTAACGTTGTACGAGTTTTCACAGATAAATGCCATTAATGCTGCTACTGAAGCATGTTGCCTTATCCTTAGCGTGGATGAAACAGTGAAGAACCCCAAGGTATATTGAGCCATCTGTAAATGCCTTGTAACTAGGCTCTACTATTGCTAATAGGTGTAGCACATGGAAATTGGAAAGTATGATACATTTTGGACTATTTGGAGTATACTTAGGTTTGTCCTTTTTCTTTATCACACTAGCTTAATATCTACTAAATATACTTAATTTGTAGGGAAACTATTCATCTCAAGTCCCTTGTGCAAACTGATAAAATAAAAAGGAAAATAAAGTGTATATGTGCTTATTCGAAGATGTTGATTTGTATCGTGCATGTGCAATTTATGTGTAATATGTGGGTACAAATTAGGATTTCATGATGTTGTGTCAGATAGGCGGCATTAAATACAATGCAGACTTTTCTATTATATTGTTTGTGTTACAATTTGCTCTTTTATTTTGTGACATGCAGTCTGAGAGTGCCCAGGGAGCTGCTGCAGGTGGCATGGGCGGAAGAGGCGGATTTGCTTCTCGGGGTCGAGGACGTGGGATGCGAAGGCGATAGGCTTTTCGCATTATTCGATTGCATTTCTTCTCAATCTCAAGCTCACTATGTTACCTTCTGCAAATGATGCAGAAATCTAATGGTATCATTATGCAGTGTGATGTTCCAATTTCAGATGCTCATATGTGTGTGTACTGAGTTTTTATGGCATCTGATAAAGCAGTGCAAAAGAGAGAATTTCCTCGTCATCTTCTGATATAAGTAGATGCTGTGCGTGTTACTCCTCGCCGTTGTATAACACTTTTGAAAGGGATTGATAATTAATTGGTGGCTTAGCTTTTCGTTTTTTCATCAATTGGAGTACTATGAACTCGGGGTTTTTTGGTCCTCCAGTTATATCTGCATCTGCCATTCTCCATCAACATCCCAAATAACTCTCTTGGTTGCATTCTCTCTTAGCTAGCTTTTAGTACTTACATCCATACACTTTTACAAGATAATTTTTTGTTTTTACACTATCACATTGCAGAAGAGAGAGACAGTATTCACGGGATTAAAGTGGCTAGAAGTGTTCCAGTTATCACACACCTGTTTTTTTGCAGATGATAGCCTACTCTTTTTCAAAGCATACCAGAATGAGGCCGAGGAAATCAAATGGTGCCTTATCACATATGAGAAGTGTTTGGGGCAAACAATTAATTTTCACATATCTAGAATCACCTTTAGCATGAACACCCCATGGAGTACTCGAAATCACCTTGCAAGTAATTTTGGAGTCAATTTAACAAATGATTGGGCAAATATCTTGGGGTCCCATCAGTTATTGGTCGGAACAAATGCCAGGTATTCAGATAGATTTATTGAGGATAAACTTCGAAATTGTATTGGAGGTTGGAACAAAAAGTTCCTAACAAAGGCAGGGAAGGAAGTGCTACTCAAACGCCTAGGCTGTTTCAATGTTTACCATGAGTGTTTTCCTTCTATCGGTATCTTCTTGTCAAGAACTGAAAATCCTAACAGATTTTGGTGGAGGAATGGTGGTGTGGGAGGTACGGGAATTCACTGGCATGCTTGGAAAAATATTTGTCTGCCTAAGAAGGTTGGAGGTTTAGGGTTCAGGGACCTATATGCTTTCAACATCGCTCTCCTTGTCAAGCAGGGGTGGCAGTTCCTAACAGCTCCAGACAGTTTAGCCAGCAAGAGGTAAATATAGGCAACAATCCCAACTTCTGTTGGCGTGGTATACTAGTTGGACGTGAAACATTATTCAAAGGTCTGGGTAGAAAAATAGGTAATGGGCAGGACACGAATGTTTGGAGCTCCTCGTGACTAACAGATAGGAACCATCCTTATATCACTACATTGTTTGAGAGGGAGGAATATAATTATTGAGAATGAGAATGGAAGAAATGACATAAAAATTAAAAAAATGTACTTGTGTAATAATAATACTAATAATAATTAAGGGTAAAAAAGTCTTTTTTTCATTTTCCCTTTCTTTTCCCCATTAAATTGTAATTCATATGGGGGTGGGGGTGGGGGTAGGGGGATATGAATTGCAATTCAACAAAATTAATTCCCTCCAACCAAACATTTTAATTTAAGTAGCTAAAGAATAATTGAATCGCAACTATATCCAACCAAACAGCTCATAAGCTTTGCAAGGCAAGAAATTTGCAAGACGCTTTGGAGTTGAAGGCTGATATGAAAATTTTCATGTATTTCGATAAATTTTAAAATTAAAATAAATGTTAATATCTTGAATTTGAAAAATAAAATTATTTTATAAGTTAATTAACATGATGTAATAAAAAATAAAATAAAAGATATAATTACAAAAATAATTAAACATAATAGTATAATAAATTAACATAAAATATATATTTTATGATAATTAAAATTAAATAATTTTTTTTTTGTAAATATCAAAATAACATAAAAATTTGTGAGGAATTCACTTTCCCTCCAGAATCTTAAGTAAAAGGTATATTACATTCTTTAGAAAATGTTATGTTATATTCTGGGAGTGTAACCTTTTTAGAATGTCACATAATAGACAAGCTGGGGCTAAAAGAGTTGAAAAGGAGTGATGGAGGAGCTGATTCTGTTGACTGGTTGTGTTTCAAGTCTGTAACTTGAGGTTGAGGCTGTCTGGAATCTGGATTGTGGAGCGGTGCACGCTTCCGCCGCCGCTACGTAGAAAGAATGGTGAATGGTGATTCCGGCCGATCGGCGACCAGGCCTCATTAAGCCTTCTATCCAAACACTTCCTTTTATCACTCTGCTGTCTCTAACATTCGTCTCCTTCGATTCACCTTTTATATATCTATCCATTCCCCATTCGTTTCTGATTATTATTATTATTATTTTTTAAAAAATTTTTTTTTTGGGGGATGTAGTTGTAGTTGAGAACTATGATCCTTATTAAGAAGAAACCGTTAGATCGCCGATTTCCATTTCACCTAACTACCTTATTGGTTTCCTTGAACCCCATCAAACAATTTTCTTCCTCTTCTTCTGCGAGCAGTGATGTGCACGCCCAAAACTTGGATTCTAAATTGAGATCTCTCTGCGCTCAACCTTGCCCTAATTCAGTTTTAGTTGAGGCGGTGCGCCTCTTCGAGCATGGCGTTAATGATTTGGGGCAAATCCCTTCTTCATCTACTTGCAATTTTCTTGTTGCAACTCTCGCAAAGAACAAGGCATATGGACTTGCATTTGATGTGTATGATAAAATTACCCATCAATTTACTCCTAGTTTTTTAACTTTAGCTGCTTTGGTTGAAATTTTCGTCCACAATCACAAGCCTGAACTAGCAATTTCTGTATTTGGGTTAATTTTGAAGCGAGGGTTTGTGATCAATGTGTACCTTTTCAATCTGTTGCTGAAGGGTTTCTGTGAAAATGGGATGGTTCATAAGGGGGTGGAGCTCTTCTGTGGGTTGGATAGGAAAATGGTGTGTCCTGATATAGTTAGTTATAATACCCTCATTAAAGGGCTTTGCAAGGCAAGAAATTTGCAGGAGGCTTTGGAGTTGAAGGCTGGTATGGAAAATGCAAATCTTGCTCCCAATTCATTGACATATACTATATTGATGGATGGCTTTTGCATGGAGGGCAGGGTGGATGAAGCTATGGGATTGGTGGAGGAGATGAGGACCAAGGGTTTGGAACTCAATGTGTTTGCTTACAGCATAATGATAAATGGACTTTGCAGTCGAGGGAATGTGAAAGAAGGCAAAGAACTTTTTAATGGGATGCTAGGGAAAGGGGTTTCACCAAATGTAGTTACCTATACCTCTTTGATAAATGGGTTATGTAAGCTGGGTCAGCTGGAAGAAACCATTACGACGTTCAATGCTATGTTGGAGCACGGAGTGCAGCCTGATGTTGTCACATTTACAGGTATAATTGATGGGCTTTGCAAAGATGGAAAAGCGGAGAAAGCGTTGAAGTTGTTCAATGTGATGCTGGGGAAGGGTATAGTTCCTGGAAATATAACCTACAATGTTCTGCTTCGAGGTCTATGTGATAAAGGGTTATTGGCTGATGCATTTAATATTTTACAACTAATGATAGAGAAGGGTGAGAGGCCCAACCTGGTGACCTACAATACAATTCTGAGGGGGCTTTGCAACAATGGGAAGGTAGATGATGCCATGACACTTTTTCATTCAATGTTGACAGACAAAAGTTATGTTGAACCAGATGTTAGAACAGTGACTCTGCTGATTCATGGGCTTTGCCAAGAAAACCGTCTTGATCTTGCTGCAGATATTCATAATATGATGATTGAGAACAATAAACTAGTTGATGTGCAAACTTTTACCGTGCTTATTGGAGCTTATCTAAAGGCAGATAATTTCGGGAAAGCTATGGATATTTGGAAGAAGATGATTGAATTGGGTTTTACTCCAGATTCATTGGCCTACAGTGCCTTAATCGATGGATTTTGTAAGTTAAATATGCTAAACATTGCAAAGGGAATTTTTGTAATCATGAGAGATCGTGGATGTTCTCCCACAGTGTTCGACTATAACTCAGTCATGGCGGCTTTGTGCAAGGAAAGCAGCTTGGAACAAGCAAGGAGGTTGTTTCAGGAGATGTTAAATGGAAATTATGAACCAGATTCTGTCTCGTATAATATTATAATTGACTCAGCTCTGAAATCAGGAAATTTAGAGTCTGCTGAAGAACTGCTTAACCATATGCTTCAAAGGGGTTTGAATCCTGATGCTTTCACCTTTTCCATACTAATAAATAGGTTTTCAAATCTAGGACGCATTGAGGAAGCTAAAAAATTGTTCAACAAAATGGTTGCATCTGGTTTCACACCCGACATCTATGTATATGATTCTTTACTGAAGGGCTTTAGTTTGAAGGGAAAAACAGATGAAATAATTCAATTGCTCCAGCAAATGGCTGTGAAGGGAATTGTTTTAGACTCTAAAATCACTTCTACTATCTTAAGATGTCTTTGTGACACTTCTGAAGATCTCAAATTGGTGGAGCTTCTACCAAATTTTACAGAGGAACCATCAAAAGAAAATTGTGTTCCATGTGATGAATTACTCTTAAAGATCCATGAGATTCTTCCCAAGCTTCAGTCATGCTCTACTTGATTGATACCTTTTCCCAATATACTTTTATGAAGAAATGTTATTGGAGCATGTAAGTCCTTGAAGTGAAGCAAGCAGGAAACGAGTGGCTCTACATAGTGGATGTCCATCCAACAGCAAGACAGCCACTGCTGTTCTTCGTAATGGAGCAGATCAGGTGTGCTTAATTGTTGCATACTGCCATTTTTTAGGTCCCTGATACCCACACCCCTTTTTAGTTCCCAACATTTCTCTATATTTTGGTTTTAACAATGATCCCAAAGCCCTTTTACCTCTTGAAATCCTCAGATATTTGGCTTCAATTCTATTTTTTCTTTCCATTGGGAATTTTCAATCCAAATATTTGTGGAGTATTTTTTAACAAAATACTTGAGGGATTGAAATTGGAATTAACTATATTTTTAACGGATTTTCTCAATTTTCCATCTTGTTTTATGTAGTTTTGATTTTCTAGTGTTATATCTCAAAGCTGAAATTTGATCAAACGAGTTCTTTAATATCTAATTTTTACTTGAGTTGCTAGTATAAAACATGATAATGATGTTAGAATCAAATTATATTATTAGCATAAAAGCAATAATTATATTAGAATGAAATGACTCTAGATTTGCCTCTAGGGCATTAGTGCAGTGGATGAGAAATTTCACTTTAAGACTTGCTTCTAGCGGCAGGGTAGGGTTCGATTCCTGCCACGAGCATTGGGGATGTCTCCTTCCATTAGGGCAAAAACAAGTAGTCTAAGAAGCTAAAAGAGGAGCCTTGATTTGTTTCTTGACCCTAATTTGTGTTGAATTATATTCAGTTCACTGAAGAAGCCTGAGAGAAGATTCCAGGACACCATTATCAATTGTTAGAAGAGCTATGAAATTGCTGGTGGCAGTGTTATAAATGTAAGACCTTAACACCATCTTTTGGGAATAAATCCATTAATGATCTTCATAACTTGATGATTAAATATGTATTGGGTGCAGATGGAGATCAACTGATATTTGTGACACCATGCTTGCACAATATAAAGGAAGTCCTCTGCCCTTTATAAACTCGTATGCAAAGCTCTCGACGAAGATTAAATAGGATGCCCTATGATAACATGTTAAAAGGGCTTAAATAGGATGCCCTATGATAACATGTTAAAAGTGCTAATTGCCCTTTTGTATCAGTTTGATGGGTCAATTGAAGCCCTATGATTACTTGTGAGTTTTTTTTTTTTTTTTTTTTTTTTTTTTTTTTTTAGCTTTTATATAATAATAATAATCTTTAATTTACGAGAGAGTTTGTAATCACTATCCGAAGATGAACTTTGGGTTAAACTTATCTTATGAGTTTGATTGGCAATAATAATTTCTATTTGATTGAGTTATGATGTGACTAGTCAATTAAAAATAAAAATTACAGGTGTCAAATATGATGTGACATTGCTAGAATCAAGAATTTTGGAAGGAAAAATTGCATTTTTCACCAAAAAAAAGTACTACATCAGTTCCATTTTATGTGTCTTGATTCGGTTAACGAGGTTTGACAGAAGTTATTTTTAATCTAATTTTTTATAATATTAAGTTTAGTATTTGTATACAAAATTTATATATATAGAAACTATACTAAAAGTTAGTTTGATCCAATGAATAGTAAGTAAGACGGATAAAATGGGAGTATGGGACAAAGGAAGTAGTAGACTTGCTTTCTCTTTGGGCATGTGGTTATGTGAATCTTATTTTTCCCCACCTTGATATACTGAAAAATGAAGGAAAAAAAAAATCAGCAGCCAATCTGTGCCACATGCATCCAAGATACTGAAAATCAGATTATGTACTTAGCAAATTGGGAGGGTCTAATTTTGATTAATTCTCATCGTTGCAGTTAGACAAGAAGCTGAAAGAAAATACACTATCAAATCAGTCTATCTAAAACATGAAATTGTATAACTTAACATCCATACAGGGCTAAAATTTCTGGAAATATGTACCACAACAACATGAAGAGGTTGAACAGCATGGTGCCAAAAAATCTCAGCTTGAAAGGATGATTGCAGCTCAGCCTCAAAACTACAGGCCAATGAAAATTGCAGTGTCCCAGCAGAATTTTTTTTTGTTTTTCTCATTTACAAATGTGAAGAATCTCCTAGGTGGCATTAGATGGAAGATGGCCGTCACTCCCTGGGGCGGGCGAGCCATAGAGAACTTAGTGCTCGTAGCCGTGAGAAGTAGTCATTGATGGCCAGAAGAGCACGGGCTGATTGGCGGGTAGTCAATATGCGATGCATTTGTTGCAGTGTCTGTTGCCGCAGGTTATCAGCCTGAAATCGACCAAAATTCATTGCTCAGTAAATTACAACTTCCCACATGTATAATCCTAAATACCATCTAAACCACTCATATGATCATATCCCTTAATCAGAATATCTCTATCCCCAATATCTATGATAAAAGGTTCAACTTCTAGTGGAAATGGCCTATTGGCCTTCTTAGTTTGAAACAATCAACTATTGGCAACCTAGGCTTGTTTACTTTATAATTCTTTGCTAACTAGGGTCGCAAAGCAGGATTTACCCAATACTCTTGGGTAGTATTTGTGGGTTTCCCTCGTCACCAAAAAAAAAAAATTAAAATAAATAAATAGAGCAAACAAATAGCCTCATTTTGTGCCAAGGACCTTGTAGTCCAATGGCACCAAGTTGTTCACTTATAAAGGAGGTTGTGGGATCGAGCCTTAGTGGAGCCAATATTGGCTCTTTGTGCTTCAATAGGTTGAGAAAGTAGTTATGAACAGATACTGCATTGTAATAGAGTCAGTAGTATTCAATAAAAAAAAAAAAATAGCCTCATTTTGTAAAGTGGAATTCCAAATTTGTTAATTTCATTAATACCTCTCAGCATTGCTGTCTTCTAAGAGATAATGAGAGAGTTCATGAGATTGACTATATTAAATACCAATACACATGTTATTCCTTGATGTTTTGATTGATTAAGAAATTAATAAGCAATCAAATGACCAAATTTCATAAAATGAAATAGATGCTTAAATACCAAAACACAAGTTTAAAAAGTTGAATACCTGGCGGATAAACCCCTCTAGAGTTCCTAGCTTTCCCATCGCCATGGCCATTTGACCCATATAATTCGCAACATTTCCCGAGGAACTAGAAGGGCCAAGAGATCCAGCAAGAGTCTCGGCCAAAGATTGCTGCAATGCCTCCATTCCCTGGGACAATGCATCTTCAGCCTGTTGGGATGACTGTTGCAAGTTGTTGATGGCCAATAATTGCTGCTCGGTTAATGGCTCCAACTGATTTATAAGCAACTGCAACCACATAGGTTAGAAATTAACATCTAGGAAAATAACATAGAAAGACAACAAAGAAAGACGAGAAAGAACTGTTATCCATGCCAAAATGTCAGCACCTTGGGTTGCCAGGGTAAAAATTATGCAACATGATGTTATTTTGCTCTCACTAGTGACTTAAAAAATAAAATATATATATATATATATATATATAAAAAGGTGCCCAAGGGACTTCACTAAGGTGGGGAAGGGACACTAACAAAAATGCAATGATTTGTAAGAAGGAAATCAACAAGGGCACATACCTTGAGGAGTTCAGATGTACGGAATCCACCCAACCACAGGAAACATCTTTCTGCAGGTGTTTTCCACATGCCTGATAAAACATGAAAGACGTCAGTTTTTGCAGCTTCTCCTTTTATCCTGAAAATGTCATCGTAGTGTGCCAAGATGCTATCAACAATGCTGCGAAGTTCACCATCACCCGCATGGGAATTAACTGCTCCTCTTAGCTCATTTACTCGCCGATTGTGATCCTCCAGCCACCGAGCATACTCTACGTCAAATGCCAAGGCTCCTACAAGGAAGTTTGTAGAACAGGAAGTCATAAATAGAGATCACAAATGGGTCAAAATAAATTATAAAATGGACCAAAACAAAGAGCGTCTAATAAAGAATGCATTCTATGTAGTATACACTGATTATAAATGATCTTCTCTTTCTACATGTTTCTTTCCTCTTTCAACAGATTATCTCTTTTCTTTTTTCAAGAAGAAACTGTAATAACATAGAAAAAGCAACCTGGGTTTCCGTGTACATTGCCCACTCAGGAGTCAACATGTGTATTATCTAAACTCGTGAAATTTTAAGTAAAAGTGTGGAATATCAAAGTCTAAATTCTTAGGGTTGCATTTTATGAGACGTTACATCAGGTATTAAAAATGGCAAGCAACCAGAAATGCCAAAATTTATGTACAACCATGCCAAAATGGCAGATATAACAAGGTTTATTTGGATTATTATATAGATTAAATACTCTGCTAGTAACATGTTTGGTAAAGTATCTGGATTGTATAACACTTCTTAGCTTATTTAACTGGGAAACAATTTACTCCAACAGTTGATATCTTTTTCATCAATTTATAAGGTCAAATCAATAACCTTGCTCTATGACCCAGTCCAAAGAACCACAGCAACTAGGACAATGTCAAATGGGGCAAATTATATTGTGAACTATGGTTGTTCAAAAAAAAAAAAAAAAAAATATTGTGAACTATGGTCCGCACTACAACGTGGACCACTGATAAAGGTTCATTTTTAGTATACTAAAGGTTCATTTTAGGTAGTACACCTAAAAATGAACCTTCAAAAAGTGAACATTCAATGTTATAAAAATGAACCTTCAATATACTAAAATGAACCTTATGTTAATGGTCCACGGTATAATGATTGGTCAAATGGACTACCAGAAGAGAAAATAGGACAAAGAAAACGGGAGAAAAGCAATAGCAAATATTGCATCATCTAGCACTATTTTTAGCAATATGAAAACCATTTGGTATATCTTGCATTAGCCCTTTATATTTTTAATAAGCATGCAATTCATATCAAAACCTAATTTTGATTGTTATGGAATATAGAATATATATTTGATATATAGAATCTCTACATATTAGGCAGTTACTTGTTTCCTATTCGTAGTCTTCTAGCTCCTATTTATAGGGCTTTGTATTCTCTTTTCTATAAGACAGTTTGAGACAATATAAGACACCACATTAGAATATTCTCTCTTTCCTTTCGTAACATTGATCAATGTTTTAAAACATGTTCCTTCAAAATTTTGAGTTGCAGTACTTGAAATAAGTAATGCATAATGTGTGCTTTTATACTATCTAATTTTTAATTTCAGAAGTTAAACTTAATAAACATTAAATCAAAATTTAGTCAAACTGACCACCGGAGGACAAACAGAATGGAATAGGAGTAGCAAATACTGAATCATCAAGCATTACTTCTAGCAATATGAAGAAAAAAAAAAAAAAACACACATTTGGTATATCTCGCAGTAGCACTTAAAATGTTTAAGGGAAGGGTCAAATAGACCTTCAAACTATATATGCAAAATTGCAATTAGGCCCTTAAACTATAAAATGTTCCAATTAAATCACTAAACTCATAAATTCAATTATTTTTTTAAAAAATGGCCAGGCTCTTTGCTATGGCCATTTGCTGACCATGGCGTTGGCCTCTTTATTCAAATCTGGACAAAGAGCCATGGCAAACTGGCCAGTTTTTTTTTTTTTTTTTTTTTAAATTATTTTTTTAATTTTTAAATTTTACATAAGTTATAAAAAACATAAAGTCGTATGACATGGCGACCAAGTCAGCAGTAACCTGATGTTTACACGCAAAATCAGGTAAATATGACCTAATTGCATTGTTTTAAGAGTTTAAGGATTCAATTGGAACTTTTCATAGTTTAAGGGCCTAATTGTGGTTTTGCATATAGTTCGAGGGCCTATTTGACCCTTTTCCCAATGTTAAATAAGTGCGCAATTCATATCAAAATCAAAAGTTGAAACTTCACAAGAAAATATATTCCCAGAATAAAATGCAAATAAGCATACCATTTCCACTCATAGATTGTGATTGATCTCCTGAACTCGAAATAAATATGCCCTTCAACCAAAAAGCACCCAAAAAAAAAAGAAGATAAATGCTTCTTAAAAATGTTGTATAGTTATGAAGACTGCTTGTTGTCCTGATAGAAAAGCTAGTAGTTGTCCAACTTGCAGCAAGTTGAAGATAAAATAAAAATACAATTAAAAATTAGGTGGTTAGAACAAACCTGTTGTCGAGCTCGTTGAAGCTCCTGTTCAAGTTGTGTTAGCTTCATTCTGCTGTTCTCCAATTGTTGGACATATGCCTATGCCAAAGAAAAAGAATTTAAATTAATAAATATGAGACACACAATCATTGTCATTTTGATGTAAAGATATTATCATTGTTATGAGGCCAACAACTCCAGTAACAAATTCTCTAAGAACCAAAAGTTACAACTATAACCACTGTCATTATATGATTATGTTCGAATCTTTTTCATGCAAACACTACCACACCTAAGATCTTGGCTGCCACAAATAAAGAGCCACATGAAAAAACCGACTGCCAACTTCAAAAATGTAGAATAGAACAATAAACTAAAAAGTTACTTTACCATCACTAGATTAGCTTCATAATATCTTAAGATACGCGATAGCTGTTCATTTAACTTACACCGGAAGCCATGTGTATTGATGAAAAACTAGTTTATAGCTAGACTAGTTTATTTTCTTTTCGAAATACATAAAAAGTTTCCTGAAAGTTAACAGCATGAAAATTGTTGAAAAATAAAGGGATAGATTTATCTATAGGGTTGTGTCTGTTTATGAATAGGTGCTTACAGTTATGTGTCTATATATATATATATATATATATATATATATATATATATATATATATATATATATATATATATATATATATATATATATATAGGGGTGAGTTCTGGTGCGGGGTTGCTCCCAGGTAAAAAATGGGATTAGACCTGAGCCATTGATCAAATCTAGATCAATGGCTAAAATCAATGAAAATTTTAATTAAAAAAAACGCACGTGCTCCATTAATGCTCTCATCTGAGCACCTAGGATGACAGACAACCTAAAGGAATTCATGAAATTGTTTATAAAATTAATAAAAATTCATTTTATTTTATTTTTTCTTAAGAAGGAAAAACAAAGCACCTTAAGAAGTAAAACAAAGCATCTTAAAAAGGAAAATAATGCACCTTAAGAAGAAAACTCACGCACCTAAAACTTTAGACCGATGCACCTTAAGAAGGAAACAATATGCTTTAAAACATTAATTTAAAAAACACAAAAAACAAACCCAAACACAAAAAACAAAAAACAAAACAAAAGAAGAAAAGATTGTGTTGATCATCTGAAAGAGAAATTGGACAAACTTTTTGGGATAGAGGGAGTAGTTTTTTCACCTGGTCCACTGTTTCTATTAGAGAAAACCTGAAAACCCGAAGGAAACAACTCTATTATTTGATTCAAAATGAGTCCAAATAGACTTTCTGCTTATCTGTACTAATACTTGTAGATCCCTACAAGTGGTTGTGAATCAGGTGCAAGTTATTGTATCTTTTTTTTTTTAATGTTAAAACAATGTAGCAATAATATTTATTCAAAAGTAAATAATTATATTAAAGCACCGAGGGGGTGGAAACACTATGAAAAGACACAATAAGCCCCAAGGAAACCCACCCACCATCCTACAGGACTAACCTTGAGCATTCCCCATCCAGAAAAACCAACAAAAACCATAACCCAACTGCAAAAGAAAACCACACAAACCTCTACGACAGAAGATCAAGTACATAGGATCAGAACTAACCTTTGTTCTCAAAATGGTATTTCACTGGAGCAGAAAAAATCATGACAAATAAATTAAAAAAAAATCCATTTTCAGTCCCCAGACAAAAGATGATTCTTCAATTAGGGTTAATAAAAGAACTCTTATGGGGAACCTTTTCTGTCAATTTCTCAAAAGTTGGGGAGCATTCTGATATAAACTAGAGTTGGATACTAAAAGTGAAATATCTCTATAGTTTGGGACTAAAACTGGATGTAGTTCAATAAATAACAACAGGTGAGAGCAACCTACTTTTTTCCTTAAACGGCTCTTTCGTGCTGCCTCGCGATTCTGAGCAAGCCTCCTTAGTGTCTGCACATAAGATTTGAATTTTAGAAACCCTTTCACTTTTACCTGGTTTTAAACCCACCACTTCTTTATTGCCAAAAAAAAATAAAAAGTAACCTTTTGATCTCTTGTCTTATCACTGCCATCAGAACCAACAATATTCATGGATTGGTTGTTTTGAAACTGCAATCAACAGTAATGAATTGCAAAATTATTTGCTGAAGAATCAAGGATTATTGAAGGAACGAAAAACATACTTGGCTGACAAGCATGGAAATGCAAAGAATTCTCAACCACTTCATTTCATACTGATTTCCAATGTCTTTGAAATTTATAATACAACCATGGCAAGGAAATAGTGCCATTTGACTTTTTGAAGGGATTTGATTAATCTATTATTAAGAATATCAAATTTGGGGATGGATAGGAATAGGTAACAATATCACCATGTAACTGAAACTTTATGGACACGTGATTGAAGAGTGCCAACACTAGGAAAATTTGTGGACATTTGTTAGGTAAACATTTGATGTACCCTGGAGTTTCTTTCTTCAGTATCTGCATCAGTTGACGTATCAGTCAAAGGACTGACATCTGCCATGATGGGTTATTGCCAACTTTCCGGACAATCACTGCAGATGGGAACTTGATTGTCTATTGTTCTTCTGCAACAGCAACAGATCAGAGCACAAGATTATTATATATGGGACTTTAAAATAGGATAATGCTGCAAAGGAAACATGAACAAACACTTGTACATATCATAGATATGATCACTCCCCAAAAGCAATGTAAATAAACATTTATAGACACAAAACTAAAGCATTCTCTCCATCCAATAGATAAAGAGGGGGGAAGAGTGTTTACCTGAATTAAGGCATATTACTATATTAGGGCCCACTTCAGCTATGTGCTCCCCCACCCCCCCCCCCCACCCCACCCCCCAAAAAAAAATTGAATAAATAAATAAACACACACAACATGTCCAGTATAGATAAAATTCCAAGATTGACACCAGTTTTGTACAAATTCAGAACTTTTTTATCCAATAAGGCAATAAGGGTTAGGGGCATGGATCTCCCCTTGCTATTTTATTTATAACAAAATATGTGCGCAAAGAGAAAGGCTGTACTCCACCATATATTGGCCTTTTACACCAAAAAATGATACTCTCAAACAATTGTGAATGAAATTCAGCAAGCACACATTAATTGGAGAAGATATCAGATCAAGAACCATCTGATATAAAAGTCCAGATGGATCCAAGAAGTTGGAGGTGTATAGAATTGCTTAGGAAATGTTTTAGATCTCTCATGAACAGTTTGCTCATGAAACCATTGCCTGGCCTGATTTGAATCATGAATTAAAGCAGGCTGACTGGAACCAATATGGATGATGACATACATCTTGATTGATCAATCAGATATTGTCTGCTACCTTACAATTGAAATCATTTCTAGCAGGTTTATTTGTTGGAAGGACTCTCATTTTGTTAGTGCAGGTCATGCTTAGTCAGGAATATACTGCCAGTGACTCAAAGTCAAAGATTAGAAACTAACAACACTTGAATAGAGTGAAGAATTCTTACACTATCAAATAACAGTCAAATTCCCAAATCCATATGTTATCAAAAGAATTGTCTCTATATTACTCAGGAAATTATTGTTAAGTTGAAGGTCAAAAGGTTTATCAAATTAAGTGGTGTGTAAGCCAGAGCACAGGGAAGGGTGAAAAGGGACATTGATAACAAAGAAACTATTTTTACTACTGTAAACATAAACCATGTTCCAAGATTCCAGAGTCCAAGCATTTTTCCCTCCTGCTCTGGCAACACTAATTCACAACCCATTATCATAAGTAATTGAGTAAGATTCAAAAAAGTGGAACTATTGCATAGAGATTATCTACCCATGTTAATTTCCATTTTCCAGATATCAGAAAGAGACAAGCTATGAACACTTCTCTCAAATCGACACAGCTGACGAGAACTCAAATTCATGAGCTGCATCCTCAACAATCAAAAGCATAACTCTGAAGATATATATTTAACATATCGAATCAAAATCAACCACCAATAATTCAACTAAAGGAACCAGAAAAAACTAAGCCAAACTTCTCAAAGCAAGTTTTTTATTTTTTCTGCTGAGACTCAACACGACAACACCAATATATATCTAAGGTTGGAGATGCTTACAGCTTAGAGTAAACGAACAGTTTTCCCCTCAAACTTCGGCTCCTTTTTTTCTCTTTTTTGTTTTTTTTTTTTTTTTTGCTGGTTCTTCACCTCCTCCTCCTCTGCCTCCGCGTCGTCTCAAGTGTAGTTCAGTAAATCAGTGGAACAGTGAAATCTAAGAGTGAAACAAGAGGCCTGTTGCTTTTTGTCTTAGCAAATCAGAGATGGACGGAGATGTGAGAATGGAAGAAATTGGTTTGACGTCTACTCTCTCTCTCTCTCTCTCTCTCTCTCTCTCTCTCTCTCTCTCCCTCTCCAATTTTGACTCGTGCTCTCTATATGTAGTTGGAGTCTCAAGTATAGATAGTATGTCAGTATGAGTTTTTGAGTACGTATATGGTGCGTATTTCACCATCTCTTATTCTCTGTCTCACTAAGAAAATTATGGATGAATAATGAAGAGGAAAATGTTTTTTTTTTTCTCTCCTAACCACTGTTAGAGGGTGAGGGTGTATATCAATCAACTTAGGGTTGGTTTGGAAATTCAAAAAAAAAAATGATTTTTGAATGTTTTAATATTTGGATATTCAAAGAAAATAAAATTAGTGTAAAACAATTATTATCAAAAAAAAAAAAAAATTAATTTAGTAAAAAATGTCTTTTTAGATTTATAGTCATAAAAGATTTTCTGAAAAAATTATTTTTCCGTTTTTCTTTTCTTTCTTATTTCTCTTCATGCTACACCAATACCAGGAAAAAGGACTGAAATGTGAAGGGAGATGCACTCATTTTCCAAAATGCGTCTCTCTTTTTTTGTAGACAAAAATATGAAAAAGACGTTTGGGATGCGTTTAATGTCAGAATTGGTCAAACACAAACGCATCTCCCACTTGTATTTGTGTTTTTTTTTTTTTAATTTGGTCGCCGGCACTTCTCCGTCGGCGACACTGGTCACCGATTTCTCCAACGAAGGAGGTGGCCTTCTCCTTCGCTGGAGAAGTCGGCTACACCAGTTTGGTCGTTGGTTTCTCTAGCGAAGGAGAAGGCCACGGGTTGCCTTCTCCTTCACTAGAGAAACCACCGACCAAGTAGTTGGCTTCTCCAGCAAAGGAGAAGGCAAATCATTGGCCTTCTCCTTCACTGGAGAAGACGGCGACACCAGTTTGGTCGCTAGCTTCTCCAGCGAAGGAGAAGGTCACCTCCTTCGCTGGAGAAATCGGTGACCGGTGTAGCTGGCGGAGAAGTGCCGGCGATCAATTTTATTTTTATTTTTTAAAAAAAAAACACACACACACACACAAGTGGGAGATGCGTTTGTGTTTGACCAATTCTGACATCAAACGCATCTTGTCCACAAAAAAGGAGAGACACATTTTGGGAAATGATTGCATCTTCCTTCACATTTCAGTCTTTTTTTCCCAATACCATCACACCACCACCTATTTAATATATATATATATATATATATATATATATATACACACACACACATCGCCTCAACTGAGGCTCGATCTCATGATCTCTCATATGGAAAAGTCACTATATGTCATATAAGCACAATGTGCTTGGCAAGTGCATCTATTGTCACTGTGCAAGTAATTTTACCTTCTTAACATTCGTGCACCTAGGTGCAACTACTTATAACTATAAGTGCACCTAGGTATAACGTTAGGTGCACTGCCACTTAGTATTGATGTTGTTCAGTGTAAATTTTACTTGCACCTGTAATACATTTTACCTGCACATGTAATATATTTTACTTGCACTGAGGTGCACTATATGAAACTGTTACTTGCACTTGTAATACATTTTACTTACACTTTGATGTTAAATTATTTACGAAAATGCTATTGTGTTTTTAAAAAAAAATCTGTGTTTCTCATCCATTAGATCTGGACACGTGGACGGATGGCATGCGTTCTTATTTATTTCTTGGGTGGGCAATTCGCACCTGAACGCAGCCCTATATATATATATATATATATATATATATATATATATATATATATATATATATATATATATATATATATATATATATATATATATATATATATATATATATATATATATATATATATATATATATATATATATATATATATAGAGGCGGATTCAGGTGCGGCAGTGTCTTACGGTGCGGCAACACCAATAGTTCACCAAATATGTACCATCAACGTTAGGAAATACACCACACAAAACAGAGTAAACAGAGCCCTGCATCACCAAACACACACCATTAGGTGTGAGTAAAAACACCATACACTGTTCGGAAATACACCATTGGGGGTGGTGAGTTATATGGTGTGTTTTTTTGAGTCTGTGGTGTATTTTGTGATGTTTTATTACATTTCATTGAGGTGTGTTTTTATTACATTGTTGGTGCATATTGTTAACACTGTTGGTGTATTCTGGAATTTGACCGCACCGCCGCACCGTAAGACCCCGCCGCATATGAGCGCTCTTCTATATATATATATATATATATATATATATATATAGCACGCTCTCATGCAAACGGCCGCCCAGGAGAGAAATAAGAACCATTTACAGTTGTTCACGTGTCCATATCAATGAACCAGATGTAATTTTAAAAATTTGATGCGGTGACATTTTTGTAAATAATTTGAACTTTAGTGCAAATAAATGTGTTATAAGTGCAAGTAGCTGGTGCAGCTTTGCAAGTAAAAAGTGCAAGTAAAATCACTTATAAGTGCAAGTAATTTACCTGTTAACATTCGTGCACCTAGGTGCAACTAATTATAACGTTAAGTGGAACTAGTTGTAACGTTAGGTGCACTTAGTATTAATGCTCAGTGTAAATTTACTTGCACCTGTAATCAAGGTTGCAAAACTCGGCCGCCTAGCCGCCTAGGCGCTAGGCGGCCCCGAGCCTTGGAGTTTTGGCCAAAACTCGGCCGGCCGCCTAGGCGGCCTGGGCGGCCAAACTCGGCCAACTTGGTCGAGTCGGTCAACTCGGCCGAGTCGACCGATTTCGTCCGATTTTGACCGATTTTGTTCGATTTTGACCGATGTCGCCTTTCATTAATTATTGATTTTAATATTATTATGACATTATGACTTATAAATTATCATTATTTCATTTATTTAGATGTGTTATTTGAGTGAACGTTGAAAACAACCTCATTAAAATTGTCGAACTACAAGTCTGTTACTATTTTTTTTAATTTTTTTGGTGCCCGCCTAGCGCCGCCTAGAATCCGCCTAGGCGCTAGGCGCTGCCCGGCCGCCCGACTAGCGCCTAGCACCTACTGCAACCATGCCTGTAATACATTTTACTTGCACTTAAGTGCATCATATGAAACTGCTACTTGCACTTGTAATACATTTTATTTGCACTTCGATGTTCAATTATTTACAAAAATGTCACTGTATTTTTTTTAAATCAATATTTCGCATCCGCTAGATCTGGACACGTGACCGCGATTATCATGCATGCGTTCTGAGTTCTCTCCTGGACGCACCATTCTCACTTGAACGCAGCTATATATATATATATATATATATATATATATATATATATATATATATATATATATATATATATATATATATATATATATATATATATAAAATACAAAGTACTTTTTATGATAAAACAAATATCATATTTTGATCAAAAAGTATTATATAGTCACTACTATTTTTTCAAAGAATAAAAAATATTTTTCAATAAAAAGTAATACTCGTTAATTTATCAAAATATTATATTTTTATAAAAAAGTATTATATATTTGAGATCAATTTGCACAAGCTTTTGTATTGAAAAATAAAATAAAATTGCACTCCATTCCCTTGTCTTCGAGGTTGGATAAATCACAAGATAATGAAATATGAAAAATTCTAAAGTATTTATTGAATAAGGCATAATGAAAAATGAATGCAATGAACTTTAGGGTATGTTTGGAAACTCAAAAAAAATGATTTTTGAAAATCATTTTTTAGGTTTTCAGTATTTGATAAAAAAGTGAAAAATGTGAGTCAAAGAAAAATGATCATTTAATCAAAGAAAAATACTCTCGTTTTCATAGAAAATGACTTTCTTTTTTTTTTTTTTTTTGGGAAGTCATTTTCCAATTTCCACACCATTACTACCACCACCATCACCATACTACCACTGCCGCCACCACCACCACCGTCACCACTAACACCACACCTCCACTACCACCATCACCAGCACTACCGCACCTCCACCACCATTGTCACCACTACCACCACCACCACTACCGCACCTCCACCACCATTGTCACCACTACCACCACCACCACCACCACTACTGCCACCATTGTCACCACTACCCCCACCACCACCACCACCACTACTGCCACCAAATCACCACCACCACCACATCACCACCACTACCATTACCACTACCACCACGGCACCACCACCAACACCAACATCACCGCCGCCGTGTTGCCGCCACCACCATTTATATAATAATAATAATAATAATAATAATAATAATAATAATAATTATTATTATTATTATTATTATTATTATTATTATTATTATTATTATTATTATTATTATTTTGAATGCTAGTTGTTGAGCATATAATCATTAATGTGCAATCCAATTATTAGCTTAGGCTTTTAATTGAGATGAAGCACATGCTTTAATTTGGTATCAGAGCCAGACCAAAGGCCTGCGGTGTTCATTTTATAAAAAATAAACCGAACACACCAAAACAATTTTATAGAATGCAACCACTCATGTTCTATCGACTTTCAAATTTTTACCATCCATGGTCTAAGTTAATAACCAATGGTCATTCAATTTAAAAAAATTAACCAGCTATAGTCATCATAGAAGGACCATTGATGATTAAAATTTGATAGTTGAAGGAGCATGAGTGATTAACTTGGACCATGGGTGGTAATAATTTGAAAGTCGAAAGACAACGGGCAGTCAATTTGAAAGTTTAGAACTAAACATGACAAAATCACTATACTCGGAGCACCTCATATGATATTAACTCATATAATCCACATATCATTGGAGATGAGGGTAAAAGTGT